GTTAATAATAAGTTTATATCGAAAATAAATCATCTACAAAAGAATACATTTTTTCATGTCATTCAACATCAATGGGTCATTTTTGACTCAAGTTGTTTCAAAGAATGGTACTCCAACACGTCAATTTGATAATTTAGGAAAGAGTTTGAACTAAATTGATGATGTCTTGAGTAACATACATCAACCGTTCAAAATTATAAACGATCAATCTGTACTAATAAAAAAGCAAAAAGTGGAAAGAATTTGGATTTTTACAGTTTTTTGAAAAATCATGATTTTCAACTCAAATATTCTAGCCAATAGATGATGGGGAAAAGTTTAATTTTTTAGAACTTCTGTATACTATGTTAAAGGACCATCTTGATTCGATGCTTTATTGCTCCAAACAGATAGGTTTTCTAAATGGTTCAAAAATGACTCACTGTGGAGTAAAAGGATTAGTATGTCTGTGCTCTGAAATTTTATTATTTCGAACTATTATTTTACCAATTTATTTGATTCATCTAACATCTTTATACTAAAAAAATTATTTGAATTAAGAAATAAAACGACAGACTAGATTTCATTCATACAAGAAACAAACAACGGTATTTTTCACTTTGTTCACAGTCTATAAAATTGTTTTAATAAAATTCGTTTGACTCAAAGAAAACATTTTCCGGCCGAAATTAGCTAGATTTAGTGAAATAAAACTTAAAGATAACCATAAATATCAACGACTTATGTATACATGATTCAATTGATGCTTAATACCAATTACAGCCCGGTAGAAAAAAACATAATATACTCGTGTAACATACTGCCCTAGACAAAAGTAGCTACTGTTCAAGAAGTATTACTGTTCCTCATGATATTGAGCTGTTATTTTAGATGTATGCATGTGACCGTAAAACCTGATTGCAACTATCAACCCATCTTCCATCGCTTCTCATGTATTGGAGTTATGGTTCAGACATCATTTTTCTCTTGTAATCAGCTTATCTCAACCATATTGGTATAAATATTTTTATTCAACCATTCATTCGAAAAGCTACTGTCATGGATATCTCAAGTTCGAACCTTGTTAGAAATTACTTTGAAAGAGTGTGGGTGTGGGACTTGTAGCGTTTTCTTCACCCACATTCACAC